TGGAAGGGAGGCCTTGGTAGGACCAATACCTCCAACAGTATTGTATGCGTGTATACGAATGATCAAAAGGATGATTCCAAAAATAGTTGGATGGACAACAACTTTGTTGCAGGGAAGTAAAGTCTTGTGGATTTGGGATTAGCTAGTTACATTACTGAACAACGTATACTCGAGATGGATGAACAAAACGTAAAAGAAGAAATAAGAAGGAAAGAAAGTGAAGCACATAAAACGGGAAACAGTGCAAGAGTTGGAGGATCAAGAGAGTTTGGAAGAGGTAAAAGTTGTCATTAAGGTGATTTAATTTGCTATTCATAAAGTATAATGCATTGGATACGATAATAAATAATATTGTGATAAATTTGATGGATTTTGAGGGCCAAATTGGCTGAAAAGCCGACGTGCTAGCTTCATTAACATATAACATTGCCTTGATAGGAAACAAAAACATATCACATTAAAAACATAGCACATTAATTGTGCATTTATTCAGCGAGATATGCTTCTAGAATATGTAAAATATAGCACATTAAAGGCCAAAACTACATTGATGGCAAATGTTAAATCCAAAAATTTTTAATGTTTTTTTAAAACAGATAACTTAATTCATATTAAAATCGAGAACCAGATACAAAGCCGCCACATTAAAGACTACACTAGGATGAGACATAGAGTTGGAAGATCGCTGAAATGCGACCCAACTCGCTAACCCCACAAGATGGTAGACTCCACTAACAGCAATGCTAAACCTGCTACTAGAATGAATAATAAAAGTAACTAAAGAGTTCTCGGAAACAGAGCAAAAATAAGAATAACTAGATCCAGTTTTTCAAGCCACTGGCAAGGAAAGTGCGGCTGGTATGGGCCCCGCTAAAGACCCATCTTTGTTGTCACAGAGGTCCCCCGTCACTGGCTTGACAGAGTCAACCGCCACTTCTTGACTACTCGCAAGTTTTTCCTCATTCTTGACCATCAAACTCTTCTCATCTGCACGGGTTTCAGTAAATATGACAGGCGGTGCCGTCCCCCTGACACCGCCTCCTGTCTGTTTTTTGGAACTTCTTCATATGCCGCCATACTGGTTTGAGTATTCTCTCTGATATTTGGCTCTATCACTTTGCGCTTCCATGGCTTTTCCTCTTGGAAATCAGCTATGCCTTCTCCTCTAGGGAGCAATCCTTCCATGATATAATTGTGTGTCTCCTCAAAACTCGCACTGCCATTTTCCATAGCCTTCTCAATCTCTTCCTCATGTGAGCTGATTCCACGTCCGCTAAGGATCAGTCGCTTATTGCCCTGATGCACTCCTCTCCTCATATCAGCACGCATCCAAGCCCCATATGGCTTCTCTCTAATCCTAGGCCAGGAGTGAGTATTAGATGGACAAAAACAATCAACATGTCCAAGAATTCCACAAATGAAGCAGAACTTTGAAAGACGCTCATATTTGAACTCTGCCCAGAACCAATCCCCCCCTCATTCCGTATCTGTAGTCTGCAAACTATTGCTTTCTTGATATTCATGGTCACTCGAATTCGCAAGATGGATCTCCACACACCTCCCAGCGTGCGCTCATCAACTGCAATGAACGAACCAATTGTGTTCCTGATACCACATGCAACTTTCTCTGCCATAAAGCCTAGAGGTAAGTTATGTATGTGAACCCAAAAATGAGCACTCTCCAATGCCACCTCAAGTGGTCTATCCGTATGTTCTAAACGCCTTATTACCACCTAATTTTGTTTGAAAGTCTAAGGTACATCCCGAAGTACCCGATTGATATCCCCTTCATCATAGAACCGTAACAGAAATTTTGAGTCCCCCATTTCGTCAATTGAAACACCCTTGACAGGCCTCCAAGTCATTGCCATGGTTGCCCGAAACGCAAAGGGACAGATTGATTTGTCAGTCACCACACTCGCCATCGCCAAGAAACATGGCACCGCCCTCACTCCATCCCCTTCTCCCACAGCATTGTTATAAAAAACCACTCCCCTATCTTCTTCCACAGCAATGATAACTTTGTTGTAATTCTGAACAAGTATATCCATGGGAAACAAACTGAACTAACCAGTGAAAAAACCAACCCAAATAAATTGCAAGCAAGCAAACTACGTAACTCAAAGCAAACAGGGGACAAAGTCCTCAAAGATACGGCCTCCAAAAAGCACGACCCACCAATATGGAAATTTTGAGGCAGAAACAAATACCACAACGAACAAACAAATCAGACCCTTCGCCGAAACAAATCAGCAACAAAAAATACTGTTGCCAAAATCAGCAAGCATAAACAGAGTTCAAAGTGAACGTAGACAACCCCTCGACAAAGAAGACGCCGGACCAAAGACGGGAAACGATTGACCTGTGAGCAAAAACGAAATAAACGAGTAGCAAAACTGAAAAATAGACTAAATCGAATGGACCTGTTGCCAAAACAACGACGCTAGAAGAGTTCATCCATGGCCGCCGCTCGATCAGGGTTCATCCATGGCCATCCATGGCCGCTGCCGCTAGTTTTTTTTACTCTAATGTCTCATGCGGTTCGTATTTGAACTTCAACTCCAAAGATTTTTAATGTTGCAGAGGGAAACAAAAACATCAACAACCATGGAATATACTGCACGAGGCACATGGAAACATATACTCCGTATATAAAGAAGAAGGTGTATAAGGTTGGGAATGCGAGCTGAAATTTAAAGTTTGGGACAATACAAGTTAAGTACGTTGCTGCTATGCTTTGTGCTGATGTGAGCGAGTTGAAATCTAAAGTTTTAATGTGGGCATGTACATATTCCTAGAAGAAGAAGGAAGATTAAGCAAGAGAAAATGATAAAAAAAATTCCAATATGCACTTACATAAGATGATGGTGGAGCATACGATGAAGATGATGGGTATGTCGATGAGGGAAGACTGGAAGCCGCAGTTGTTTAGTAGGGATGAAAAAGACCGGAGAGAAATGGTGGATAACGGCGCAGAGAGTAGGCTGCCCTAGTCTTATTGCATTCGACTAAGGGAGTGCTTGCAACAACTTAAAAAAAGCACTTCTCAGCTTTTGGTTTAAAAAGCACTTATTTACCAAACACTACCAATTTTTACTTTTTCTCGACTTGCGCGTGAAAAGTATTTTTCTCTTTTCTATTACACAAATAACACTTATTTTACCAAACACTACTAACTTTTACTTTTCAAAATCAATTTTTTCTCAAACACTATCAACTTTTGCTACTAATCACTTGATGGAGTATATGAGCTTGGACCCCATGGCCCACATACTCATAAGGTCAATGATACCAGAGGAACATCCACATGACCCCCTTCGGCCTAGTGGGTCCCGCAACGACCATAGCCGGATCAGCCCAGGACGCCGCCTGGAGGACAGGTGGGCCGCATCGGCCATGAGACCGCATCGGCCATGAGACCGCATCGGCCAAAAGTACCACATCGGCCAGGACGACTCCTGGCAGAATGTACTTTCTTGCTTTATTTTACTAAGTGTTTTACTCAGCCCATTAGTGGTCCTATTTCGCACAAAGAAGACATGATTATTGTAATGACCCCCCTAAGCCCAAGGTTAAGAGCCCAAATCCACATTTTTACCTATAAATAGACCCCTTGGGGCTAGTTATAGGGGGTTGAGAAATATTAATTACTCACTTTCTCTCTCTAGCTCTCACTTCTCTCTAGATAAATAATTTATCATCACTTTATCCTTACATTTCCAAAAATATTTTTTTTAAGCAGAAGCAGTTGCAAACACTCTCTAACAGGGACGAGTCTTGATCGTCAAGTATCGTAAGGGGTAATTTAGAAATTTGACGTATTTTTTATTATATTTATTTAATTTTGTGATTGCGTTGAGTAAAAAGAGGATTTGTGAATAGAAATTCTCTATTTTCTTCCTTCAATGGAATTAAGCATGGACTCTTACCCATTAAAAGACGAGCTGCGCTAGGTGTACACAAAATGCGTACACTTTTTTTGTACACTCGTCTGTCCCCTCACAGACAAGTTGCATGTTAGAGTGTACAAAAAAGTGTACACATTTTATCTATACCACACATTTTTCTTAAAAGACACATATGTGAGTGAGGTCTGGTCCAAACTCCAAATCTTGATTTTTTGGGAAACAAATCTCACCTATTGATAAACCTAGTTGAGTTTTGATAGGTGCACACAAAATGTGCACACTTTTTTTGTACACTTGTCTGTCATTCGCAGACAAATTGTCTATCACAAACAACTTAATATGAGTTGTCTTGTGACAGACAACTTGGTACACAAAAGGTGTACACATTTTGGGTACACCAATCATTTTTCAACCTAGTTAAATGGGATCACTTAAGGCTGGTTTGCAACTCATTCTGAAAAACACTTTTTCTTGTTTGGCATTAGCTTGTTTCGCATGACCTTTTTTCCCCAACCCTAGCTGACCTCGTCTTCGAGCAAACATTTTCACGCTGGGGAGATAGCTGCGTGCGAGCAAGGATGAAAGATAAGAACGAAGGTTGTCGCTGGGAAGTTAAAGGTTTAAAGAGAGAGGGGCATTTTAGTATATTCATAAAAACATACCTCAATAATCACTTTTTTATCAAACACTCCGCTTTTTATATAATCACTTTTTTCCCAAACACTATCAGCTTTTACAATTAATCACTTCTCCTCATTTCATTAAAAAAAGCACTTTACCGGTGGGCGTAGCTCAACTGGTAGTGAGGGAGTGCCACAAGGGTTAGGTCTCGGGTTCGAATCCCGGTAACTGCGATGAGGGGTTACTATGCTGAAAATGCATAGGGCTTCTGCAAGTACCGGGGACAGAGCCTCACTCTCTATCTGTCAGATTGTGATTATAGTCCAATTTACATCCTCCCATCGTGTCGTTCAGTCGGTGTTGGGGGCCCTCAGGGATGGGGTATCATCCTTTTTTATTAAAAAAAGCATTTTTTTTAAAGTAGAAGCGGTTGCAAACGGACCCTTAATGGGCTTCTCTACCCTGGCCCCTTCTTGCCCGTAAAAGTTAGAGCTACCTACCTGCCTACCACACTGACCACAGTCACCACACCTTTCCTCATCTTCTTCCCCTGTGCTGCGCTTCCACTTCCCGGCTGTTCATCTTCAATGGCTTTTACTGCCGCTTCCACGGCGGTGGTCTGCTCCATTCCTAAGGCCAGCATTTCTCCCAATTCATTCGCTAAGCACTCTTCTTTCTCTCAGACTCTTGCTGTTCCCTCTCCCTTCACTGCCCCCCGCTTTTGCAAGCCCTTCGTCTCCCGCGTCCCTTGCTTGCTCTCTTCTCGCTCCGCTCCATCCAAAAATCGCAGCTTTGTTGTCCGCGCTTCAGTAAGTTTTTGTTACTTGTTATTTATCGATATTGTACTCTTCTTGCAACATTAGAAGCGGAATAAGCTGATATGTACTGTCAACCAAAACGGGTTTGACTCTTGATTGTGTATTGGATAGGGGCGATTGCGAAATTGTCACTTAAACTGAAATGAATCAGAACATTTGGTGTTAACATTGACACCAAGTCAACAACCAAATGGATGGTTCTAATTACAATTTTGAAACCTATAAGTTGCAACCTAAATGCACATGTACCGTGTCTTTTATCTTTCAAATTTTTGTGAATGTGGGGCTCGTTTAATACCCTTTCATGTTTCATTTTACAGGATGAACTTCCTTTGGTAGGGAATATAGCACCTGATTTTGAAGCTGAGGCTGTTTTCGACCAGGAATTCATCAATGTAATTCATTTAACCCAGTTTACTTTAAATTACAGGGCAAGAAGAAAGATTGTGCAAAAAATGCTTACTCATGTGTAAAAAAGGAAAAAATCCTGTCCAATTCTTTTACTTTATATATTTTTTTGTGTTTCTTCCATCTTCATCTGACTATCTGAGTATCATGATATCTTCATAGGTCCCCTTACAATCCAATCCTATTGTTTCTATTAAGGGTTTGTTTGCAATCACTAGTTACAAGTGCTTTTGAACTTTTTTAAGTGATTTGGGTAAAAGTGATTAATAGTAAAAGTTAGTAGTGTTTGAGAAAAAGGTGATTTTGAAAAGTAAAAGATGGTAATGTTTGGTGAAATAAGTGCTTTTTGTGTAACAGAAAAAGAAAAAAGCAGATTCTAGCTTTTAGCTTTTAAGTGATTAATTTAAGTAGAAGTTGTCATTTGAAAACACTCTTTTTTAGCTTTTTTAAGCCAAAAGCTGGGAATCACTTATTTTTTTCAATGTTTGCAAACATAGCCTAAATCTAGAGCTTCAATGCAGTGGCCTCTCCACTCATAACTAGACTTATTGTCATTGCAGGTTAAGCTATCTGACTACATTGGGAAGAAGTATGTGATTCTTTTTTTCTATCCACTGGACTTCACATTTGTTTGTCCAACTGGTGATTCCTTGTGATGACTTAAAATACTCTATGTGCTTGTAATGCTTGGTTCTAAAGATTTTTGCTAAACTACTTTGCTTTCATATTCATGCAGAGATCACTGCTTTTAGTGACCGCTATGAAGAGTTTCAGAAGTTAAACACTGAGGTCTTAGGTGTATCCACTGACAGTGTGGTTAGTTTCTTTCTTTCATGTCTGGGGCATCCATGCTTCCATAGTTTCTTTCTTAATGCTATTTTTACAGCTTGAGTTCTTCAGTACTGCTTTGGTGTGAGGTCTTGTCATTCTTCGATATATTGATTGTATTGTTTTTTGGATAGTATCAGTATTATGAAGTTATGAACATAATTTGTTCGCCACATAAGGCATATATTAGTCTATTTGACTGACCATGCTGGATTGGTTAATAATGGAAAAAATAGAAATGAAGGTAGATTTGAATGAAGTTGCCATAGTGATCACGTCAGCCTCATTTTTCTCTATTTCAAAGATAATACTCACTCCGTCCCTAATAACTTTGCCAAGTCTGTCCGGCACGGGGAATAATAAAGTAAAAATTGTGTGCTTGAGGTTTGTGCAGAGGAGAGAGGAGAGAGAATGAACTGGAACCACAAATTCTTTACTTAAAAGGAAAAGTGGCAAAGTTAGTGGGACATCCAAAAAAGGAAAGTTGGCAAAGTAATAAGGGACAGAGGGAGTATGCATTTCAAATATAATTCTGTTATAATTTATTTCACCAACTTTCCTAATATCTGCCAAAATTTTAGCGACTTTAGTGAAAGTGCGAAACTCACCCTTGCCAGACGGGCTCTAACTGTTCTGTATTTCGTAATGATTCAATAATCTTTATTTGACTTCTTTACAGTTCTCTCATCTTGCATGGGTCCAAACTGAAAGAAAGTCTGGGGGATTGGGTGATCTGAAGTATCCATTGATTTCTGACATGACCAAATCAATCTCAAAATCTTACAATGTGCTTATTCCACATCAGGTATGATTGTTCTTGTCCCCCCCCCCCCCCCCCCCGTTTTGAGCAATCCAAATGAATAACTTAACCCTCCTGTAATAGTCTAATTTATGATAAATATCTGGCTGAAACTGCATTTCTATCTTGAGTGTTTACATAATCAGCACTTGCTCATGTAATGGGTGTTCCAGGGAATCGCACTGAGAGGACTCTTCATCATTGATAAGGAGGGAGTCATTCAACACTCTACCATCAACAATCTTGCTATTGGCCGAAGTGTTGATGAAACATTGAGAACTCTCCAGGTAGACTTTCTTTTCCTTGCCTTGTTTGTTTACTTTGTGTTGATGTCGGCATTATGATACATCATTAAATACATATTTGGTCCTTATGCTTTTATCATAACACTACCTCCGTTCCTAAAAATTCTTCCAAGTTTGAATGGCACGCTTATTAAGAAAGTGGTAATGTATGGTTGTGGTTGTGTAAGAAAAAGGTAAAATGAATGTGAAGCACACAAATTGTCCAAAAAGGGAAAGTGAGAAGTATTTTTGGGAACGGAGGGAGTATCATTTTGGTCTTCAATAAAAAAACTTTAAACCTCTAATCCCTGAACTTCATGGTTCATATTATCCCGGTCCTTCTGCTTAAGTTTTCCATTCATGTATCCGTTAAATACCACATGGCTTGCCACATATTCTTCTTTTGGGATGCTATTAGTCAATAGTCACATGGCATCCAAAATGGAATTATTGTTTTATTAAATTTTTATAAAATAAGTCTTAGACACAATTTATAGTAACAAATACTTTGTTTTCACGTGCTTGCATATACCTAAAATTTATAACAGTGCCAGAATTAATCTTTTTTGTTGAAATGACAGAAGTGAAGACAAACTAACCCCTTTCCCTCACGTGGCTTATATATTGTTTTCCCTACTTATCAATAAAACTGCCCTTTCATACACTTTTTGAGTGGATAGGTTTAGTTTGTTCAGCCATTTTCATCCATGCCCTCATCTAATTGAGCTCTACTTCACCATTAAGGCAGACATACCATCATTAAATATGTTCACTCAAAGCCAATACACTGTAAAGTGTAAATGACTGGAGCGTGCCTAGGGCACTTATAACTCAAGTGTTGTTGCAGGCATTGCAGTATGTCCAGGAGAACCCTGATGAAGTGTGCCCTGCTGGATGGAAGCCTGGCGAGAAGTCAATGAAACCTGATCCCAAGCTCAGCAAGGAGTACTTTGCAGCTGTATAAGAAAAAAAACTGAGCATTCTCTCAGCCATTTTGTACTTCGCACATTTGTTTGAAAGAAAAGTGGTGCTGCACGTGAAGCTGAAATGTACAATTTGGACTAATCACCTAAAAACAATTGCTATTATATGAAGTTATTCTTAATTTGAAACTTGAAAGTGTTTTTTTTGGGGTGATTCGTCAAGACGCTAATCCTTGAAATTACACAAACTGGAAATTATTGCAGCCTTGCAGGACATGATCATGTTTTGCACTTTTGCCAACGGCACTACTTCAATTTTTTCATTAAAGACAATCGATTCCAGGTCTTCCAGCACACCCCCAATATATATATATTTTAAATTTCTTTCAAATACTTCTATTACAATTTAAAAGTAGAATACTATTTTTCTATTCAGAATGGGTGACTGAGCGAATTTCTGTCAATCTGTTACGGAGTATGATGCTCGTCATTTTACTTGATTCTAAACAGTCACTTTCAACTAAATAATCCAAATTCCAAATAAAACTTTGAGATTCTTGCAATGCTTTTCAAGTAAGTGGTCTTTTCCAATACTTGTAGCTTGTAGAGTTTAGATCGTTACACTTGCACCTAGGCATGGACCCGGTTCGGGCCGCCCGGCCCGGGACCGGCCCGGCCCGCCACTGTGCGGGCCCGGTGGGGGGGGGGGGTCCGGGCTCGGGCCTTGTATTTGGCGAACTGGCCCGGGCCCGGGCCGAATTGATTTTTTTTTTTAATTTTTTTTTCATTTTTTGGGGTTAGCTGGGTTGGGCTTGATGGTTAGGAGGGGTTTGGGGGGGGTGGGGGGTAGAGGGGGGGGGGGTTAGGAAAGCAAAAAAAAAAAAATTGACCGAACCGGAGGCCCGGCCCGGACCGGACTGGACCCGGTGGTTACCCGTGCCGGTCCCGGGCCTTCCTTCCCAAAAAAAAGCCCGGCCGGGCCCGGCCCGGAACCGGCACGGGTCCATGCCTACTTACACCAAGTGATTCTGATTTGATGGGCCTAATTTTGAGATCTCAAGAATGTACCTCAAACTCGTAGAAAACGAAATTTGAGTTGCTCGGAAAGCTGTTAGGTTTCTAACTAACATTTATTGATACACCACCACATATAACAAAACAGGATTTGGATCTTCTACCGCAGGACGGAGTGCTCGGAGTAGTCAGGATTTGGAATTTTGGATCTTCTGCCGGCCCGGTAGTTGACCGATGCCGGGCCGGGTCGGGTCCGGACAATGTCCGGTTCTATTTTTTTTGTTTGCTTGATTATTTTTATGAAACAATTACATAAATATGACCAAAATAAAGATGGTTTACAAAAATATGATTCATTACTAGAGTAGTAATGAAATCATATTAATTCATGTTCAAATTTTGAACTTTAGTTACCACAGCACTACGTTGTAGTAATGAATAGTCATATTTATGTAAATAAGTTTTATATCAGTAATATTTTCGTAAAAACCCCTTTTTTTATTCCCTACCCCCACCCCATCCCACAAACCCATCTGAAAGACCCATTCCAACCCATTTAAACCCAGCCCAAAGCCCCAAACCAACAACAACAACAACATCCAAGCCTTAGTCCCAAATGATATCCCCAAACCAACAAAAAACAAAAAAAAAAATTGAAAGGCCCGAACCGGGCCCGGAACCGGCCGGGCCGGTTCTCATTTACCTAAGCCCGTACCCGACCCGAATACCCACCCCAAACCGGGCTTAGACCCAGAACTGGTATCTGGTTCCCGGGCCGGGCCGAGCCCGCACAGTACCGGGCCGGGTGGCCCGAACTGGGTCCAAGCCTAGCTCGGAGGCAATCCCAGGGCAGCAAGTAAAAGAAGAAAATGTACATGACGGAGTGCTCGGAGGCAATCCAAGGGCAGCAAGTAAAAGAAGAAAATGTATGAGATGTACGGAAATGGAACCCAAGAAATAAGAAATTGCTCTAAACTGAATTACCAAAACAGACGTTGCAAACTAGTGAGTTGTGAACCCTAGCATTAGCGGCACGTTTCTACATCGCTTCTCTAGCGCTCCACAACTCTGAAGGAGTTCGATCGTACAAGTTTCTTCTCGCTTTCTTTGTTCGGCTGAATTTTCTCTTGCCGAGGGTTTGGTTTGTTCCAATTGTGAACGTGTTTGGGCTTTTGATCATGAGTTTCGTTGCTTATTTTCTCTGTCCCGAATCTGGCGTTCATTTTGTTAGGCATTAATGGATAGCTTAAATCAGGCCTATGAAAGATGTCTAACAGAAAAATGTGACTATAAATTACTATGAGTAAGCTTTATACGGAGTAGTTATTATGATATAAAATTTGCATAAACTTGTGCTCATTTAAAGTTTTCATGTCACATTTTTACACATTACTTTTTATTTTGATGATATATATATATATATATGGAATTATTTCTTAAAAAGCTTGGAATACAAAACAAGAGGAACTGAAAAGAAGATGAACACAAATAGCTCGTTTGGTAACACTGAAATTGGCTGAATCAGTTTATTCTGATTCTGCTGAAATTTATGAAGTTTTGGCTGAAGTGACTGAATTGACTGATTTTAGTACTCAATTCCTGAATCAGCTTAATCTGATTCTACTGAAATTTATAAAGTTTTGGCTATATTTATGAAACTTTTCTATTTATACCCACCTCGGTAAACGGGTAAAGTATAAAAGTGAATATAAGACCTACTAGTAGGGATGGCAATTTAACCCGACCCGATAGATACCCGCACCGAACCGAACCGGTCAAAATGGGGAAAACCGTTTTGACTGGGTAACGGGTACGGGGCGGGGAATACCCGATTTATGTAAACGGGTAATGGGGCGGTTATGGGTTTATACCTACCCGCCCCGTTACCCGCCCCGTTTAATTTGGATACGGTTACCCGCACCATTACCCGACCCGCACAATTAACTTATATATTTTAATAGTTTATGTATTTATTATTTAATATATTAAGTATATATGAATATTAGTACATTAGTATATGACACTTATTCTCTCTAGTACTTTGAAACAATATTCAACTTATCGGCTATCCTTTGCAATTCTGATGATCGAGTTGGTGCTCAAAGTTCACTATTTTAGATTTTAAATTTTCAATATCATTCATCATCCTTCCTTTGTTAACTTCTATAATATTCCTTCAAAAAAACCTCTACAATATTTATTTTCTTCACATATTGATTATTTGATTTTCGTGACTTTCTTTACGCAATTTCCACATTGTGACTCTCTTAGTTTTTCACCCAATAACTTTCATAAAACTCACGTATGAGTTTAAAGTCAAAATATTGCGAAACATTACTCTAGCTTGCTTTAATTTATGTAATTGCTAATAATTTTGTAAAGGTGTATTGGATGATTAGATTAATTTTGATTGGTTGCTCTAATTTATATCAAGTTTTAAAATTTAAATTATGTTTTTTTTCTAAAACAGTAACTACAAGAATACCTAAATCAAAGTATTACAAGTGCCTTTTAAATAATTCCAAATCTATAATCAAAATAAAAGTTGTGGACAAAAATGCGACTCTAGTAACTTTAGTGTTTATAATTTTATTCAAATGTTATGTCGTAGTGATTACAAAACTTACTCATGGTAACTTATAGTCATATTTATGTTCATATCTTTTTTATTAGAGGTATTTTAGGGGAAAAACTTCCCATTTTCATTATGTTACTTGTATACATTATTGTTCTTAAATTAATTTAGACGTTGAATGTTGGTGGGGGTATGCTTATTGAATGTTTGGAAGTTAAATGTTTTTTTGATTCATATTTAGTTTTTACTATCGAGACAAGACTTACTCTTTTGATGTTGATGTGGTAAGAGATTCAATTTGAATCTAGACATATATAATTTGTGAATATTAGATTCAAACGATTGTAACTTTTTGTCATGTTTTAAAAAACTTTATCTGTGGTACTATTTAATTTTAATTTTTTTTAATTTAGGTGGTCAATGATAAGTAGTTAATAATCATTTTAGGATCTATACTAGTTTTGAAGGAAAAAAATTATTTTTTAATAAAACGGTTACCCGCGGGGAAACCGTTACCCGCGGGGAAAACCGTTACCCGCGGGTAAAAAATACCCGACGGGTAACGGGGCGGTTTCGGGGAATTTTTTTATCAAACGGGGCGGGTACGGGTAATGGTATACCCGACCCCGAACCGCCCCGTTGCCATCCCTACCTACTAGTGACAAATATCAGTTTGCTTCGTTAACTAGAACGCGGGCTTTTCGCAGTTGCTTAGATAAATGTGATCTTTTTTCAATAGGCCCAATTCCTACTTCTTTCTTCGTCTTCTTCCTTCATGTTCATCCGTTATCAAACCCTTCACTAACATCTTAAAAAAAGAATACCCTTCACTGACATCCGGTCCCGAAGTGGACGACGCTGAGTTAGATTGCTCGCCAGCACAAACGCCTCGAAGATGTTGAGAAGGAATGTACGGTTGAGGAGAGAGTACCTTTACAGGAAGAGCCTGGAAGGCAAAGAGCGTTTGCTTTACGAGAAGAAACGCAAAATCAGAGAAGCTCTTGAAGGTTCAGTTTTTTTAATTACGTAACTGATTCAAATTTTGGTTTTATTATTATTTTTGCTCTTGTTGACTACACTAATGATTTTTTGATGGGCAGAGGGAAAGCCAATCCCAACTGAACTCAGAAACGAAGAAGCGGCTCTTCGTCAACAAATTGACCTCGAAGACGAGCACACTGCTGGTATGCTTCAAAAGTGTCTTGCATTTAAAACTTGTTTTGGGCACAAAGAAAGATTATTTCTCTGCTTATTTATTGAAGGCTAAGAAACAATATTGGCTTCATTGTAATATGAAAGTGAGCAAAGATTTATTTTTCGAGCCTGGGATGATGAGTCTTGAACTTTGCATTAATGAGTTAATGCATTCTAATTTTATTTAAATTTTGGCATGCAGTGCCTAGGTCTACTATTGATGATGAATATGCTCATGCTGCTGAAAAGGATCCCAAAATTTTGATTACCACTTCCCTCAACCCAAGTGATCCTCTCACTCAGTTTGCAAAGGTTGTTCCTTCCTGCTGTTTATCCAACTTTCTTCTTTAGCAACTACAGTCCATTTTCTGTCCTTTTACTTTTTAGGCATCATATGCTCGTGTCATCATCCATTTGAAGCTATTACTCCGTATATGCTTTCTCTGACTTTTTCAATGTTTTTGGTCCTTGTGACAGGAATTGAAGATTGTATTCCCTAATGCAACGCGAATGAATCGTGGCAGTCAGGTTGGTTGATCTTTCGATTTTCCTGTATTTTCTTGTTTTGTTGTTTATATCATTCTTAAATGTTTGTTTGAAAGAAACTC